ATAATTCCTACCAAAATTGAATAAGTAAATAATCGACGCGGAGACAACAATTTTATAATAGCTATAAAGAGAACAAATTCTGCTGTCATCGCCACACTACAACAAAGTCATGAAGGTTTACCAAAATCGATTTTCTTGTCACAATCATCAGTGGAAAGCCGTGACTGAAGAGTAACCATGCTGAATCAATGATTAATATACATTCAATAATGTGTTACGAGAACAAAACAAAGTGCTAAAATAGAATGAGGGAAGGTGAGACAATAGAAGTGAAGTGAGAGCTAAGTGCAACAGGGGTGAGGAACTAATTACAACGCTAGGACTGTGTATTGAGACAAACAATCATGCTGTGCACCTACGAAAACAATCTTAACGCAACTACATGTTTCTTCTGCTTACAAAGATCAGGCTTATGCAAACGAATACAAACAGCCTCAAGTACTTTCAACTGACTAGCGTACCGTGCACGACAAAGAACAGAAAAACTAAAATCATCATACACCTGCAGACACTTAGGGTGAGACAACAGATGAAGAAAAACGGCAGACTTCAAAGCTGAAGGGAACGGAATTCAACAGAGAAAACAACACGATCAACATTCAAAGACCTAGACGTTCAACGGCTAATTATTCAATGAATTATTACAGTACTGGATGTCAAGCACCGGCGAAGACACTGGGAACAGAAGATTTAACAACAACAGGAACAACAACAATAACAACAACAACAATGGTAACAAAGTACCATCAAGATCAAAGGAGGAGTCAACGAACAGAGGTTAAGCAACATGAAGCGAGCCTGGGACCGATCGGTGTGGATGAGGAGAATGACACGGGGGACGACACTGAGGACGAGTTGGAAGATGAGACGGAGGACACGAGGTTGCGGTTGGTGGAGACGAGGAATCGGATGGTGATTGTGATCGTAATTTACCCCTTTGTGGACGGACTGTACGAGTTTCGATCTAATAAGATCGAAACTTTGTAACTTCGTAACTCCATCGTTTCTTGAGCAAATTCCACAATCGAAGGGTCTGCGTGGTAGCAGGAACTCCAAGCTGTCCAATGCAACAATCGCCGAAGAGTTACAATGTCGGACGCCAGAGATATCGCGCGCCGTATTCTTACCTCGGCAAATTCAAATTTTTGATCGATCATTTCGCCATTTTGGGGGAAAATCCCTTTTCGCGTGCTCTTTGAGCGACTGAGCACATGATAATGACGTAGCCGGCTGAAGTTTGAATCGTCTCAAACAGATTTGAGCGTTCTGCGATGAAGGAGAGTGGAATGGCGTTGATGGGACGAATTTGCTTGCATATCAGGCTTGGAGACGACTTTGCTGTGTTACCGCGCCTGATTTGTGGCGGCCGGATAATGGAGATTGGTACCCTGACGTAGCTCGCGCCAAGAGCTTTCCAATGAGCCCTTGATTGTGAAAATCAAGTGAAGGACACCAAAGGTATGACATGGAAAAGTGGAAAATTGTACTGACATTTTGTAATTCTGGTGCATACTGTGCTAGTAATCCGTCCATAAAGGGATCGTAAGAAGTCTGCCGTTTTTCTTCATCTGTTGTCTCACCCTAAGTGTCTGCAGGTGTATGATGATTTTAGTTTTTCTGTTCTTTGTCGTGCACGGTACGCTAGTCAGTTGAAAGTACTTGAGGCTGTTTGTATTCGTTTGCATAAGCCTGATCTTTGTAAGCAGAAGAAACATGTAGTTGCGTTAAGATTGTTTTCGTAGGTGCACAGCATGATTGTTTGTCTCAATACACAGTTCTAGCGTTGTAATTAGTTCCTCACCCCTGTTGCACTCAGCTCTCACTTCACTTCTATTGTCTCACCTTCCCTCATTCTATTTTAGCACTTTGTTTTGTTCTCGTAACACATTATTGAATGTATATTAATCATTGATTCAGCATGGTTACTCTTCAGTCACGGCTTTTCACTGATGATTGTGACAAGAAAATCGATTTTGGTAAACCTTCATGACTTTGTTGTAGTGTGGCGATGACAGCAGAATTTGTTCTCTTTATAGCTATTATAAAATTGAATAATCGCATAATTCGAGGCAAATTGCATACGAATCGCACAAATAATGGAATATTCCGCCTGTTCGCACCAAATTCCATAGAGTTGTACATGTTCTACAAGTACCGTACAAGTAGATACACCAGGAAGTCGTAGGTTTACGACTCCCTTGATAACATGTCCAGTCCATTACAATCAGTGATGGTCGTAGCTACAATTGTAGGTCGGACGGTGCGTTGACCCCGTTGAACTTTTGCTACTAGTACTACAGTACAACGCCCTACAAAACAATTCCCCTGTTATTTTGCACAGAACCATCATATACATTAGCTGCATATATGTGAGCATAATGCGGCATAATATGATAACTTTTAGCATAAAAATAGCATAATTCTGCAATTTTTTCAGCAATGCGAAAAGCATAATTTCACGAAAATATTAGCATAATCCGTCAAGGCCTACAGAGCATTGACAAACATTAAAAAAAAGAAAAAAAAGTAAATTATCGTGTCCGTTCCCAAAGGGAACTCACGACGGCCGCTAACACCCGATAAACCCTACCCAGGCAGGCACAGTGGGTTGGTCAAAGACCATGATTGAGATACGAGAGGTACCTGGTTCAAGTCCTGCCTGGGAGCGGTTTTTCCAGCCGTGCTGCTACCCACAGTCAACTGGGAACTTGTGGCCAGGCACAAGGGGTACATGGATGCAGCTAATGGGATCGTTTTCGGCACTTGTGCCAGTGGTTGTGAGACTTATCCACTCACCCCCACCGTTAGGCGCTGCATCTGCCGCTAGGGTTTATAGGGTTTATTGACAAACATAGCACTTGAAAAATAGCGCTAGTGTATTCGACCTGAAGAGTAATGGAATGAAAGGCCTAGTCGAAAAAATTATAATTTAATAATTATGGCTTCTGTGCTTCGTGTGCTGATTTGCTTTCCTCCAACCAAAAATCTAAGAAGAGTAATAGGGCTATAGCGGTGAGAGCGCACGTTTCGAGGAAATCAAAAATGAATACTAGTGGGTAGTAGCAGGGAGTGTTAAAATTAGTGCTGAAACAATTATATCGATTACTCGTTACTTACTCGATAAGAAATAGATCGAGCGGTTATTTCGATTTTATTGGCTAAACGAAGCTGGTAAACCTTTCCACCCCAGCTTGAAGTCCATGATTGTATTCCCACTCCCTCACGGAGCCTTAATGGTCAATGTTCTAATCCCGTGAAGTCCGCTGAAAACGCCCACTTCCCAGCAAACGCCCACCCCAGCGGGTCCGTACTATTTCTGTACTCTTCCTACAAGGCAACATGGGTGCCAGGATTTTCGTGTGTGTGTGGGGGGGGGGGAGGGGGGGGGGGGGGGGAGAGGGGCGCAGGTCGGTCACTGCACTCGAATGACATCCGTGGACAGGCGTGCACGTTCGCAGTTTGGAGCTTTGAGAAGCAAATAAGTAAGTCGTCATCCCATTGTTTACTTTTGTCCCTTTGCCTCTGGGCGCATGCTGAGTTATTGTTACGACAATGTTCCTTTTCTCTTTCGTCCAGGTGTGGTTCACGCATGCATAACCGCATTTGTTAGCACAGTTCACGCTCCCTGCTGCCAGTGCGGGTCTCGAACTCCTGATTAAAACGTCACCGGCAGGGTTAAAATGCACCAACAATGGGATGTCAATTAAAGGGGAAGTGCGGTGAAAAATTTAAATTTCACAGCCTGCAGAGCTCAGTTTGATTTTGATTTTCTCCGATAACCATGGATTCCTGGAGTGGAGGTGCCTCTAGAGCGTAGATTGTTGGAGCTGTGGTTCGAGGCCAAGACAAGGCACCAAACTCACGACTCAATTCATTAAGAAAGGTACGAAGAAGAGAGTGGATTGCGAGAGAGTTGAAGAACAGCAACCGGCGGAGCAGAAAGCTCAACATCAGGAGACACCATCACCCGAATCATCGCGTCCATGCACACAGAAGAAATAAAAAGAGCACGAAGTCGCAATTCAGGATCCGGGCTTCCTTTGCTTGTTGTTGTTATTGTTGTTGTTGTTGTGGTTGTTGTTGTTGTTGTTGTTGATTTTTACTTCTTCATCAAAACTGAACACAAGTTGTAGATCGCCATTGTTCTGCTTTCCGATATCTTGCAAACGGTTTGTTTGGAGATATTCAAAATTTGGCGGGCAAAAAAACAAGCCGTTCAGGCTTTGCACTCGATGTCTGGTGTGACCGCTCGACAGGGAGCACAAAAGCCAGCTGAGCGCCAGCGAAACACTCACTCACGTAACCCTCACTCCGAGTTACCCTCACTCCGAGTAACCCTCACTCACGTAACCCTCACTCCGATCCGAGTAAGCCTCACTCCGAGTAACCCTCACTCACGTAACCCTCACTCCGATCCGAGTAAGCCTCACTCCGATCCGAGTAAGCCTCACTCCGAGTACATGACAATTGTACTACATGTAGTGGTGAGTACCCAGCTGACTCTGACGTGATTGTCCGCGCAGTTCCTTGTATCTGGTTCACGCATGCATCACCGCATGTGTTAGCACAGTTCACGCTCCCTGCTGCGAGCGCGGGTCTCGAACTCGCGACCTTGTGATTCGCAGGCAAGCTTATAACCCCTCGGCTAGGCTAGTACTAGGTCTACGTGTACTGTAGGGTTTATAAAAGCCTGCGACATAGATTTGAGACCAGTTTCAACTAATGCCTGAGACAAGATTCACCCTTGTTTAAACCAGTGAGTGTCGCTGGACGCTAGCCTTAGGATAAATTCCGTACTGATTGTTATACCGTTTTGTCAGTATTGATATAGTGAACAGTATCAGACGAGAGGCACAGCTTCCCAGAAGATTGTTTACCCTGCAAGAGAAACGCCGTCTGCCACTCCTGCAGTAGTATCAAAAGGCGCAATGAGTTCAGTAAAAAATCTTGTTACGTTCCCAGCGCTAAGTGAAGTCACAGATGCAGCGGTCCGGTCTCCGATGGAGCGAAATACACAAAAGGCAAGCGATGGCGACGAATCACACGGGAACGGCATCGAAGCATTCAATCTGCTGAAGACTCTCGGTAAGGGCAGTTACGGCACTGTATATCTCGCTGAGAAGAAGAAGAACAAGGACCAAGTGTACGCTATCAAGGTGCTGCAGAAGGATACGGCTATCCAGAAGAACATTGTAAGCAGAACCATCAGTGAGAAGAAAGTTCTGGCTATTGCGGGTCGCCATATGTTTTGTGCGAAAATGTTTGAGTGTTTTCAAACTGCCAGCAGGCTTTTCTTCGTTATGGAGTACAGTCCGTATCGCCTATAAGGTTGGCGGCTATAGTAATATACCGGATATAGTGATCAATTTCTCAAATTCATTTTCATTTGCCATAACTAAGTATACACAGTTATCGCGTATAGTAATAATCGTCTATAGTAATATATCGCCTATAGTGATCAAATTCTTATTTCAAAAGACCTTTATTACATTATGTTTGCATCGGTTATAGTGATTGATGTAAAAGCAAGCGATGTTAGAGGAGAACAGGGTGTTACTTCTTCGTGAAGAACTTGTCCAGTGAGTGTTGTTTGGTGAGTTTTGTTCGCACAAGTTGCCAAAATATGCCTCCATCGTGAGGAAATGCTGATTTTCTGTGTCAGGAGCTACAGCCAGCTACATGACATTGTACATGTACATGTATGTAGTGCGTATGTGCACGGCGCGCTGAGTCGTTTGACACCCCACTCGCATACATTGCATGCAGTATCGGTCATAGTAATATATCGCTTATAGTGATAAAATGCTCAAAATCAAACACCAACGCTATAGGCGATACTGACTGTATATCGGCGGCGGAGATCTATGGTTTCACTCGGGAAAAGAAAGAAATCGCCGTTTTGGTGAGTCCACAACTCGCTTATACTCCGCTCAGATAGCGTGCGCCCTACTTCATCTGCACCGTTCAGGAATCATTCACCGTGATCTGAAACTTGAAAACGTCATGCTGAGCAGTGATGGACATATCAAAATAACAGACTTCGGTGGGAGCAAAGTAACCCTGGGAGCCACAACATCAACATTCGTCGGCACGACTGAATATATGGCCCCGGAAATGGTCAGAAGGACAGCTTACAACGCGTCTGTTGACTGGTGGGCTCTTGGCGTTCTGATGTTTGAGATGATGTTTGGCTGTGTGCCCTTTAGAGGCGCAGCAAAAAAGGTGATATTCCGAAACATTAAAGCCCAGCCGGTGATATTCCCAGACACCAACTGCAGTAAACACTGCGAAAGCGTGTTGCTGAGTTTGATGCACAAAACTGTTAAGCAGCGTCTGGGATGCACGGCTGGGTCGCAGGTACAAACGCATCCGTTTTTCGAGTCAATACGGTGGGAGGCGCTAGAAAGGGGCGACATCAATCCGCCCTTTATCCCACCGTTTGACTCGAAGACGGACACATCAAACTTTCACACGGAATTTACGGACGAGGTCGCCGTTCTCGAGCCCATTGACGAAAGGATTGTGGCCCGGATCGACCAGTCTAAATTCAGAGACTTTGACTTAACAGATTAGCATTGCATTCCGTGGAGCCAAATAAGGTTAGCCGACACACGGTTTCGTTACTTAACAGCTCCAGTTGTTATTCAAACTGTGCTCTTTACCGCCTTACCTCGGAAAATCTCCGCTGCATGTGTTTGCTATATTCATTGACTGAGAAATATTTGCTGTGTGCCACAGGCTTCCAGGGTGCGATTGGTGGAAAGTTTGCCATTTTAGCCTGGCCATTTCTTAATCTGTTGCTGATGTTGTTGTTGTCGTCGTCGTCGTCGTCGTCGTCGTCGTTGGTTTTGTTGCTGGTTTTGTTGTCGTTGTTGTTGGTTTTGTTGTCGTTGTTGTTTTTATCGTTTTTGAAGTATTAATTCTCACGATGGCACCATCGCCAATAGGATTTTTGGTATTGTTGTTGTTGTTGTTGTTGTTGTTGTTGTTGTTGTTGTTGTTGTTGTTGTTGTTGTTGTTGTTGTTGTCTTCGTCGCCGTTATGGTAACAAAGATTGGGCATTGGGCATTGGTTTTTTTATTTATCATTGTTTCGATTCATGTCTTTTTCGTTCATTCTTTGATTCTTAGTACTGTATAGGTTAGTATTTTCGCTGGTCTACAGCTCTTCATTTTTGGCCACCTTGATCCTGCTTTTCAACTTAGCTCCGCTGTTCATTTTTATGCTTCCACAATGCCATCTTGTCATTGGTGACAATAAACTGGTTTTCCCCCTGCTACTGCGTCTGCCTGTGCGAGCTATATTTTTTCTAGTCGGTCTGGGTCCAGGGTCATATTTATTTATTAATGTCAAACCAGATGTTGTAGCGGCGGTGAGGATTCCTGCAGCTTCATTCATAAAAAAAGGTTTCAGAGCAGACCCGCTCGCTTCCCTTTTACGAGTTCGAGTTTGCAGAGTTACAGGGAAGAAAGCGGGTCTGCTCTGAAACCTTTTTTTCCTAAATTAAACCTAGCCATAAATAAAAATAAAGCGTCTCCGTGTTGTACTGTATGCTGCCTTGGAACAACTACTGGTAGAGTCAATTAATGTGCAATCAGCTGCTGCAAAGGAACGTCTATTGAGATTTTCAAGTGGCTAGTCAGTAATCAATGCGTTCAAGGCGTTGCTAACCTTCCTTATTAATCTTTGGCGTGCTTTGATTTCATTGACCCTTTTTACTATTAGGCTTTACCCAAGTCAGCCGGCCGAAAACGAGACGGATTGAAAAATGGCTAAGCTTTGTATCGCTGATTTTGGAGGATTGCTTTGAGACCCGCCGAAAATCTACCAAATTTTGAAAATTGTGTTTTCGAACGAATGTTGCTTCCAAAATCTCAACTATTTTGAACTCACTATGCCAACAATTCAGTCAGTTTTGAGTCTCACCCGTGTCCCTGCCCTCCCACCCTTCATTTCTGTGCATAATTAATATCTCAACAATCGACGTAATATTGCCGTACTAATTCCATGGAGAACGAGCAGACTAATCTAGTTCCCCTCTCGGAGGCAAGGAGACACAGGAGGAAGCACAAGCACGGCACAGAACAAATCAAGGAGAGGGAAGCGGTGTCGCGAGGAGATGGAGACTGATGATAACGAATACGAGGACGACGGGATGGACGGCGGCATTGGAGTGGAGGTGGAGGATGAGAGTAGTGATGAGGAGGAGTTTGATGTTGACAAGAGGAAGTCTGCAGTGTACAAGCATTTGGTGTCCAGTCCAGAATGTCGTAAGGTGTTTGACGATTCAAGGTTTAGTGTTATTCGAAGCTGTGTATATTCGTACTCGTGACCCTGTGCTATGTAAACAGAAAGAAAACGTTGTATCACTCACACTCTTCAAGTAGTACACAAGCACCATTACATTCATTCACACAGTATCCATTCATCTGCCACTACCTTTCTCACACACACTATATTCACACATTGCAAAGATGCAAACTTCGCTTTTTGTACTTGCTGGCTGCTGTATTTTTACCTGAAACCATATTAGCTACATGTACAAAGTATATAAGTGTGCGTTTTAGTTATTACATTTTATGTGACGGCGTTCCACTGATGACAGTCACAAGAAAACGTTATGGAACTTAACTTTCTTCATTTTTTGCTGTTGTTATGAATGCACAAGTTATCTTATTTATTGCCATATTTAATATCATTGCTTTTTTTATCACTTTGTGCCGTGATGTGATTGCCATGCCTACAGGATGCCTAATCGCCATTGGGGATATACACCCGGTTTTTTCCCTCACAACTGCGTCCGTCGGCGCGAGGGTTTTTTCCCGGCTGGCTCGGTCCAGGGAAATTAATCAGACGGTCCCAAGTGGTTCTGCATTATGGCCTATTTCTGCTATCCACTGGCACGCCTATTCTATCTTAGACACTCCGTTCTCAGTCCTTGCTTCCATACCTCACTCTTTATCTGGTTCACATCTGGCTGAGGCCAACAACCCTTCACTTTGTGTGTTGTCGCTATTGCTGTCTATGCCTCTGTGTGTGTGCCACTATATGTGGAGCAAGAAGCTCTGTCGCAATATTTAGTTATTTCACCCATTAGCGCTATGTTGATTGCTTATATTTGACTGCTTATGGGTTGCGCAGTTGAACAGTGCCTAGTGCAGCACGGTCACTGTATGAGTAGGTGATGGTGCAACGGTTGTGCAATCATGAAACTGGGATTCATGAGGCAATCGTTCTGCAATTTGAAATACCGACTGTTTGTCGTGATAAATCTAATATTGACTTCGTATTTGGTCAGTATAGGAAATAAAAGCCTCGTAAAAAGCCTCGGCTTCGCCTCGGTCTTCTACTCGGCTTTTATTTCCTATATAGACTTCGTAACCAGTCAATATTAGATACGTAATCTACTCTTGATTTTAGCTATGTTCTTCTTTGCGCTGTTTCATCACGTCGCTACTGTACTTAATCCACTGTTCTTGTTACTTTCCCTTTGCCTGTATTTCACCTGACGAGAAGCCTTGAAAGTATACTTTGTCAAGCTGAACACTTTCAAGATGTTCGTACATGTATTTCGAAGTATGCTCATTGGTATTGACAGTGTCATTGTGTGCTTGCAGCAGTGGCATATTCTGTCAATGAATTGATTGCAATCTCTTATTGGCGATGGTGCCATCGTGAGAATAAATACTTCGAAATAATTCAAGCAAACAAACGAACAATAACGCAAAGTAGTGATAAAAGCGAAGAAAGAGGAAAGATAACGCGAGGTTGTTTGCTATTAATGCTGGATTTCTTTTTCTTCATAGCCTCAACAGTGCAATGTACAATTCCCAAATTTAACGTTGAGAATGGCGGAGAACTCCGTTGCAACATACAAATGTGAAACTCAATAACCTACTGGCTTGGGGGAAAGATGCAAACGGGAAAAGTCTGAAGAAAACATTTACTGTCACCACCAGGACTGAAAAAGGGACCTTCACTTGAAGCCAGCGGTGCTCTAACCACTGAACTATGGTGTAGCTGTTATCCAAGCAGAGACGGTATCCTCTCTTAATAACTGAAAAAGGAACACATCATAGTCCTGTGTCTGACTCCTCGAGTATACCCACCATGTGCATGTGGTTGGCTAGAATAATTAGGTTGGGCAAAGAGTGCAAATTGCATTGCCAATAATGATGGATAGGTAACTGAATGAATCCTCCGTTGAAAACTATTGTTCTAAGTGTGTTGGTGGATGGTAGCCGCCTTCAGAAAACAACTTGAGTTTTCACTATTCCCTGGCCATGGTGTGGATAATTACGCAGCAGGGAGTTGTTTCAAATTTTACAGTGAGATCGATAGTAATTTTCTAACGCCCAGGTTTAATGGTAATAAACAGAGTTCGCCATGTAGCCCAAATGAAACATATGGGGTTATCGCACCTGTCTGCAGGACAACGTTTGGTGCAACATTCGAATCTGACGTAAAATTGATAGTATGCCTCTTCGTAGGGCTGTGTTCCCAATAAAAAATATAAAAAATAATAAAAAAGTAGCTAGTATGGGCTACCTGGACAGATTCACAATTTCTTTGGACCACAATAAATTTGTGAGCACACTTGGATTTGATCATTTGAAATATTCAACGACTTTCAATGCTAATAACTACGCCATTCCGTGTTAAATCCCGCATATTGCACCCTCAGTTTGCCAGAACAGCGCATGAATCTTTCCGCGTGACAACCTCTTCACCAGTACTGTATTCAGTTCTGAAGATGGTTGTTCCCACGAGCTCTAAGTTCGTGTATTCAGTTCATTACTTTTAAAAATTGTCTCTAACTATTACCTATCCACTTCACTGCAATGCGGCGTAGATTCCTCCAAATTTCTACCAAGTGATAATATCCTACAGATTGTTCAGAATGTCTTCACCACACCAAAAATAGGCTATACTAGTATTCATGACTCCTCTAAATCATCTTATATTATTTATTTTATTTATTATTATGTACTTTAACATGAAACTCGGGTATTGAGCCAATAATAAAAGTAGAAAGGAAAAGGACATATGGAAACGAGTTGAGAGTAACTCTCCACCACTGTAACTAGATACTATATACAGTCAGAAAGTGCAACAACTAGGCACAAAACTGACAGAGTACTGAGACATTCGACGTCCTGACACCTAGCTTCAACACATCTCCGTAGCGCTAACCGACGTATTCTGTCAGTTTTGTGCCTAGTTGTTGCACTTTCTGACTGTATATAGTATCTAGTTACAGTGGTGGAGAGTTACTCTTAACTCGTTTCCATATGTCCTTTTCCTTTCTACTTTAACATGGCTGATAAATATGGTGGTAAAGACACACCTGGCAATATGGCGGTAAACACACGCCTGCCCACACACGCTCTCTAGGCTGCAAAGTTCTGGCACAGAGCTCTCCTTCTCACCACCACCACCATCAGTTCGCTTACCGCCATATTGCCAGGTGTGGCTTTACCACCATATTTATCAACCATAAGTACAGCTGCAGTGGTGTCTTCAACTTCATTCTACTTTAACATGCTTGGACATAGTCTTTGCCTTCCATGGCATTCAAGTACTTCTTGGGTGCTGTGTGTAAGGTGGAATAGGGGAGCGTCCTTGGGGAATCTGATCGCATGACGCTACAGGTTATGCTAGTACGGGAAGCTGTACATGGTCAGAGATGATGATGTACATTGGTGACGCTCCAGACCCCAGATGTGGCTTTGCGTTCACTAATCGCGTCAACTTCGCATAAGTATGTCTTTAGAGACAATTTTCCTTCTGTCAGCGTGCAAAATCAAGTACCCAGAGTTATTTTGCACAGAACCATCATATACATTAGCAGCATATATGTGAGCATAATGCGGCATAATAATATGATAATTTTTAGCATAAAAATAGCATAATTCTGCAATTTTTTCAGCAATGCGAAAAGCATAATTTCACGAAAATATTAGCATAATCCGTCAAGGCCTACAGAGCATTGACAAACATTAAAAAAAAGAAAAAAAAGAAAGTAAATTATCGTGTCCGTTCCCAAAGGGAACTCACGACGGCCGCTAACACCCGATAAACCCTACCCAGGCAGGCACAGTGGGTTGGTCAAAGACCATGATTGAAATATGAGAGGTACCTGGTTCAAGTCCTGCCTGGGAGCGGTTTTTCCAGCCGTGCTGCTACCCACAGTCAACTGGGAACTTGTGGCCAGGCACAAGGGGTACATGGATGCAGCTAATGGGGTCGTTTTCGGCACTTGTGCCAGTGGTTGTGAGACTTATCCACTCATTCCCACCGTTAGGCGCTGCATCTGCCGCTAGGGTTTATAGGGTTTATTGACAAACATAGCACTTGAAAAATATATTATTATTATTATTAAAAGCATGTCGGCGTAGGTGCCACTTTCGCTTATGCCATTCAGGATTGATGTCTGAAGAGTAATACGATATAATGAAATGACAGAAGTGACGTCAACAAAAGCCGTTAGCAACAACACAAATATGACTAATGGAAAACTTCATCCAAATTATAAAATAAAATAGAATATGCATACAACATGTATGCATATACAACATGAAAAATAGCGCTAGTGTATTCGACCTGAAGAGTAATGGAATGAAAGGCCTAGTCGAACAAATTAAAATTATGGCTTCTGTGCTTCGTGTGCTGATTTGCTTTCCTCCAACCAAAAATCTAAGAAGAGTAATAGGGCTATAGCGGTGAGAGCGCACGTTTCGAGGAAATCAAAAATGAATACTAGTGGGTAGTAGCAGGGAGTGTTAAAATTATTGCTGAAACAATTATATCGATTACTCGTTACTTACTCGATAAGAAATAGATCGAGCGGTTATTTCGATTTTATTGGCTAAACGAAGCGGGTAAACCTTTTCCACCCCAGCTTGAAGTCCATGATTGTATTCCCACTCCCTCACGGAGCCTTAATGGTCAATGTTCTAGTCCCGCGAAGTCCCCTGAAAACGCCCACTTCCCAGCAAACGCCCACCCCAGCGGGTCCGTACTATTTCTGTACTCTTCCTACAAGGCAACATGGGTGCCAGGATTTTCGTGTGTGTGTGTGTGGGGGGGGGGGGGGAGAGAGGGGCGCAGGTCGGTCACTGCACTCGAATGACATCCGTGGACAGGCGTGCACGTTCGCAGTTTGGAGCTTTGAGAAGCAAATAAGTAAGTCGTCATCCCATTGTTTACTTTTGTCCCTTTGCCTCTGGGTGCATGCTGAGTGATTGTTACGACAATGTTCCTTTTCTCTTTCGTCCACGTGTGGTTCACGCATGCATAACCGCATTTGTTAGCACAGTTCACGCTCCCTGCTGCCAGCGCGGGTCTCGAACTCCTGATTAAAACGTCACCGGCAGGGTTATAATGCACCAACAATGGGATGTCAATTAAAGGGGAAGTCCGGTGAAAAATTTAAATTTCACAGTCTGTAGAGCTCAGTTTGATTTTGATTTTCTCCGATAACCATGGATTCCTGGAGTGGAGGTGCCTCTAGAGCGTAGATTGTTGGAGCTGTGGTTCAAGGCCAAGACAAGGCACCAAACTCACGACTCAATTCATTAAGAAAGGTACGAAGAAGAGAGTGGATTGCGAGAGAGTTGAAGAACAGCAACCGGCGGAGCAGAAAGCTCAACATCAGGAGACACCATCACCCGAATCATCGCGTCCATGCACACAGAAGAAATAAAAAGAGCACGAAGTCGCAATTCAGGATCCGGGCTTCCTTTGCTTGTTGTTGTTCTTGTTGTTGTTGTTGTTGTTGTTGTTGTTGATTTTTCTTCTTCATCAAAACTGAACACAAGTTGTAGATCGCCATTGTTCTGCTTTCCGATATCTTGCAAACGGTGTGTTTGGAGATATTCAAAATTTGGTGGGCAAAAAAACAAGCCGTTCAGGCTTTGTACTCGATGTCTGGTGTGACCGCTCGACAGGGAGCACAAAAGCCAGCTGAGCGCCAGCGAAACACTCACTCACGTAACCCTCACTCCGAGTTACCCTCACTCCGAGTAACCCTCACTCACGTAACCCTCACTCCGATCCGAGTAAGCCTCACTCCGAGTAACCCTCACTCACGTAACCCTCCCTCCGATCCGAGTAACCCTCACTCGCGTAACCCTCACTCCGATCCGAGTAAGCCTCACTCCGAGTAACCCTCACTCACGTAACCCTCCCTCCGATCCGAGTAACCCTCACTCGCGTAACCCTCACTCCGATCCGAGTAAGCCTCACTCCGAGTAACCCTCACTCACGTAACCCTCCCTCCGATCCGAGTAACCCTCACTCACGTAACCCTCACTCCGATCCGAGTAAGCCTCACTCCGAGTACATGACGATTGTACTACAAGTAGTGGTGAGTACCCAGCTGACTCTGACGTGATTGTACCCGCAGTTCCTTGTATCTGGTTCACGCATGCATCACCGCATGTGTTAGCACAGTTCACGCTCCCTGCTGCGAGCGCGGGTCTCGAACTCGCGACCTTGTGATTCGCAGGCAAGCTGTTATAACCCCTCGGCTAGGCTAGTAGTACTAGCCTACGTGTACTGTAGGGTTTATAAAAGCCTGCGACAAAGATTTGAGACCAGTTTCAACTAATGCCTGAGACAAGATTCACCCTTGTTGAAACCAGTGAGTGTCGCTGGACGCTAGCCTTAGGATAAATTTCGTACTGATTGTTCTACCGTTTTGTCAGTATTGATATAGTGAACAGTATCAGACGAGAGACACAGCTTCCCAGAAGATTGTTTACCCTGCAAGAGAAATGCCGTCTGCTACTCCTGCAGTAGTATCAAAAGGCGCAATGAGTTCAGTAAAAAATCTTGTTACGTTCCCAGCGCTAAGTGAAGTCACAGATGCAGCGGTCCGGTCTCCGATGGAGCGAGATACACAAAAGGCAAGTGATGGCGACGAATCACACGGGAACGGCATCGAAGCATTCAATCTGCTGAAGACTCTCGGTAAGGGCAGTTACGGCACTGTATATCTCGCTGAGAAGAAGGAGGACAAGGACCAAGTGTACGCTATCAAGGTGCTACAGAAGCATACGGCTATCCAGAAGAACAATGTAAGGAGAACCATCAGTGAGAAGAAAGTTCTGGCTATTGCGGGTCGCCATATGTTTTGTGCGAAAATGTTTGAGTGTTTTCAAACTGCCAGCAGGCTTTTCTTCGTTATGGAGTATATCGGCGGCGGAGATCTATGGTTTCACTTGGAAAAAGAAAGAAGTCGCCGTTTTGGTGAGTCCACAACTCGCTTCTACTCCGCTCAGATAGCGTGCGCCCTACTTCATCTGCACCGTTCAGGAATCATTTACCGTGATCTGAAACTTGAAAATGTCATGCTGAGCAGTGATGGACATATCAAAATAACAGACTTCGGTGCGAGCAAAGTAACCCTAGGAGCCACAACATCAACATTCGTCGGCACGACTGATTATATGGCCCCGGAAATGGTCAGAAGGACAGCTTACAACGCGTCTGTTGACTGGTGGGCTCTTGGCGTTCTGATGTTTGAGATGATGTTTGGCTGTGTGCCCTTTAGAGGAGCAACAAAAAAGGTGATATTCCGAAACATTAAAGCCCAGCCGGTGATATTCCCAGACACCAACTGCAGTAAACATTGCGAAAGCGTGTTGCTGAGTTTGATGCACAAACCTGTTAAGCAGCGTCTGGGATGCACGGCTGGGTAGCAGGTACAAACGCATCCGTGTTTCGAGTCAATACGGTGGGAGGCGCTAGAAAGGGGCGACATCAATCCGCCCTTTATCCCACCGTTTGACTCGAAGACGGACACATCAAACTTTGACACGGAATTTACGGACGAGGTCGCCGTTCTCGAGCCCATTGATGAAAGGATTGTGGCCCGGATCGACCAGTCTAAATTCAGAGACTTTGACTGAACAGATTAGGATTGCATTCAGTGGAGCCAAATTAGGTTAGCCGACTCACGGTTTCGTTACTTAACAGCTCCAGTTGTTATTCAAACTGTGCTCTTCACCGCCTTACCTCGGAAAATCTCCGCCGCATGTGTTTGCTTTATTCATTGACTGAGAAATATTTGCTGTGTGCCACAGGCTTCCAGGGTGCGATTGGTGGAAAGTTTGCCATTTTAGCCTGGCCACTTATTGATCTGTTGCTGATGTTGTTGTTGTCGTCGTCGTCGTCGTCGTCGTCGTCGTCATCGTCGTTGGTTTTGTTGTTGGTTTTGTTGTCGTTGTTATTGGTTTTGTTGTCGTTGTTGTTTTTATCGTTTTTGAAGTATTTATTCTCACGATGGCACCATCGCCAATAGGATTTTTGGTATTGTTGTTGTTGTTGTCTTCGTAGCCGTTATGGTAACAAAGATTGGGCATCCAATGTTTTTTTCATTTATCATTGTTTCGATTCATGTCTTTTTCGTTCATTTTTTGATTCTTAGTACTGTAAAGGTTAGTATTTCCGCTGGTCTACAGCTCTTCATTTTTGGCCACCTTGATCCTGCTTTTCAACTTAACTCCGCTGTTCATTTTTCTGCTTCCACAATGCCACCTTGTCATTGGTGACAATAAACTGGTTGTCCTCTTGCTACTGCGTCTGCCTGTGCGAGGTATATTTTTTCTAGTCGGTCTGGTTCCAGGGACATAATTATTTTATTAATGTCAAACCAGATTTTGTAGCGGCGGTGAGGATTCCTGCAGCTTCATTCATAGAAAAAGGTTTCAGAGCAGACCCACTCACTTCCCTTTTACGAGTTCGAGTTTGCAGAGTGCCAGGGAAGAGAGCGGGTCTGCTCTGAAACCTTTTTTTCCAAAATTAAACCTAGCCATGAATAAAAATAAAGCGTCTCCGTGATGTACTGTATGCTGCCTTGGAACAACTACTGGTAGAGTCAATTAATGTGCAATCAGCTGCTGCAAAGGAACGTCTATTGAGATTTTCAAGTGGCGAGTCAGTAATCAATGCGTTCAAGGCGTTGCTAACCTTCCTTATTAATCTTTGGCGTGCTTTGATTTCATTGACCCTTTTTACTAGTAGGCTTTACCAAAGTCAGCCGGCCGAAAACGAGACCGGTTGAAAAATGGCTAAGCTTTATATCGCTGATTTTGGAGGATTGCTTTGAGACCCGCCGAAAATCTACCAAATGTTGCAAATTGTGTTTTCGAACGAATGTTGCTTCCAAAATCTCAACTATTTTGAACTCAATATGCCAACAATTCAGTCAGTTTTGAGTCTCACCTGTGTCCCTGCCCTCCCACCCTTCATTTCTGTGCATAATTAATATCTCAACAATCGACGTAATAATTGCCGTACTAATTCCATGGAGAACGAGCAGACTAATCTAGTTCCCCTCTCGGAGGCAAGGAGAGACAGGAGGAAGCACAAGCACGGCACAGAACAAATCAAGGAGAGGGAAGCGGTGTCGCGAGGAGATGGAGACTGATGATAACGAATACGAGGACGATGGGATGGACGGCGGCATTGGAGTGGAGGTAGAGGATGAGAGTAGTGATGAGGAGGTGTTTGATGTTGACAAGAGGAAGTCTGCAGTGTACAAGTATTTGGTGTCCAGTCCAGAATGTCGTAAGGTGTTTCACGATTCAAGGTTTAGTGTTATTCGAAGCTGTGTATATTCGTACTCGTGACCCTGTGCTATGTAAACAGAAAGAAAACGTTGTATCACTCACACTCTTTAAGTAATACACACGCACTATTACATTCATTCACACAGTATCCATTCATCTGCCACTACCTTTCTCACACACACTATATTCACACATTGCGAAGATGCAAACTTCGCTTTTTGTACTTGCTGGCTGCTGTATGTTTACCTGAAACCATATTAGCTACATGTACAAAGTATATAAGTGTGTGTTTTAGTTATTACATTTTATGTGACGGCGTTCCACTGATGACAGTCACAAGAAAACGTTATGGAACTTAACTTTCTTCATTTTTTGCTGTTGTTATGAATGCACAAGTTATCTTATTTATCGCCATATTTAATATCATTGGTTTTTTATCACTTTGTGCCGTGATGTGATTGCCATGCCTACAGGATGCCTAATCGCCATTGGGGATATGCACCCGGTTTTTTCCCTCACAACTGCGTCCGTCGGCGCGAGGGTTTTTTCCCGGCTGGCTCGGTCCAGGGAAATTAATCTGACGGTCCCAAGTGGTTCTGCATTATGGCCTATTTCTGCTATCCACTGGCACGCCTATTCTATCTTAGACACTCTGTTCTCAGTCCTTGCTTCCATACCTCACTCGGTATCCGGTTCACATCTTGCTGAGGCCAACAACCCTTCACTTTGTGTGTTGTCGCTATTGCTGCCTATGTCTCTGTGTGTGCCAGTATATGTGGAGCAAGAAGCTCTGTCGCAATATTTAGTTATTTCACCCATTAGCACTATATTGACTGCTTATATTTGACTGCTTATGGGTTGCGCAGTTGAACAGTGCCTAGTGCAGCATGGTCACTGTATGAGTAGGTGATGGTGCAACGGTTGTGCAATCATGAAACAGGGATTCATGAGGCAATCGTTCTGCAATTTGAAATACCGACTGTTTGTCGTGATAAATCTAATATTGACTTCGTATTTGGACAGTATAGGAAATAAAAGCCTCGTAAAAAGCCTCGGCTTCACCTCGGTCTTCTACTCGGCTTTTATTTCCTATATAGACTTCGTAATCAGTCAATATTAGATACGTAATCTACTCTTGATTTTAGCTATCTTCTTCTTTGCGCTGTTTCATCACGTCGCTACTGTACTTAATCCACTGTTCTTGTTACTTTCCCTTTGCCTGTATTTCACCTGACGAGAAGCCTTGAAAGTATACTTTGTCAAGCTGAACACTTTCAAGATGTTCGTACTTGTATTTCGAAGTATGCTCATTGGTATTGACAGTGTCATTGTGTGCTGGCAGCAGTGGCATATTCTGTCAATGAATTGATTGCAATCTCTTATTGGCGATGGTGCCATCGTGAGAATAAATACTTCGAAATAATTCAAGCAAACAAACGAACAATAACGCAAAGTAGTGATAAAAGCAAAGAAAGAGGAAAGATAACGTGAGGTTGTTTGCTATTAATGCTGGATTTCTTTTTCTTCATAGCCTCAACAGTGCAATGTACAATTCCCAAATTTAACGTTGAGAATGGCGGAGAACTCCGTTGCAACATACAAATGTGAAACTCAATAACCTACTGGCTTGGTGGAAAGATGAAAACGGGAAAAGTCTGAAGAAAACATTTACTGTCACCACCAGGACTGAAAAAGGGACCTTCACTTGAAGCCAGCGGTGCTCTAACCACTGAGCTATGGTGTAGCTGTTATCCAAGCAGAGACGGTATCCTCTCTTAATAACTGAACAATGAACACATCATAGTCCTGTGTCTGACTCCTCGAGTATACCCACCATGTGCATGTGGTTGGCTAGAATAATTAGGTTGGGCAAAGAGTGCAAATTGCATTGCCAATAATGATTGATAGGTAACTGAATGAATCCTCCGTTGAAAACTATTGTTCTAAGCGTGTTGGTGGATGGTAACCGCCTTCAGAAAACAACTTGAGTTTTCACTATTCCCTGGCCATGGTGTGGATAATTACGCAGCAGGGAGTTGTTTCAATTTTTACAGTGAGATCGATATTGATTTTCTAACGCCCAGGTTTAATAGTAATAAACAGAGTTCGCCATGTAGCCCAAATGAAACATATGGGGTTATCGCACCTGTCTGCAGGACAACGTTTGGTGCAACATTCGAATCTGACGTAAAATTGATAGTATGCCTCTTCGTAGGGCTGTGTTCCCAATAAAAAATAAAAAATAATAAAAAGTAGCTAGTATGGGCTACCTGGACAGATTCACAATTTCTTTGGACCACAAAATATTTGTGAGCCCACTTGGATTTGATCATTTGAAATATTCAATGACTTTCAATGCTAATAACTACGCCATTCCGTGTCAAATCCCGCATATTGCACCCTCAGTTTGCCAGAACAGCGCATGAATCTTTCCGCATGACAACCTCTTCACCAGTACTGTATTCAGTTCTGAAGATGGTTGTTCCCACGAGCTCTAAGTTCGTGTATTCAGTTCATTACTTTTAAAATTGTCTCTGACTTTTACCTATCCACTTCACTGCAATGCGGCGTAGATTCCTCCAAATTTCTACCAAGTGATAATATCCTACAGATTGTTCAGAATGTCTTTACCACACCAAAAATAGGCTATACTAGTATTCATGGCTCCTCTACATCATATTATATTAATTTTATTTATTATTATGTACTTTAACATGAAACTCGGGTATTGAGCCAATAATAAAAGTAGAAAGGAAAAGGACATATGGAAACGAGTTAAGAGTAACTCTCCACCACTGTGTGTCTAGATACTATATACAGTCAGAAAGTGCAACAACTAGGCACAAAACTGACAGAGTACTGAGACATTCGACGTCCTGACACCTAGCTTCAACACATCTCCGTAGCGCTAACCGACGTACTCTGTCAGTTTTGTGCCTAGTTGTTGCACTTTCTGACTGTATATAGTATCTAGTTACAGTGGTGGAGAGTTACTCTTAACTCGTTTCCATATGTCCTTTTCCTTTCTACTTTAACATGGTTGATAAATATGGTGGTAAAGACACACCTGGCAATATGGCGGTAAACACACGGCTGCCCACACACGCTCTCTAGGCTGCAAAGTTCTG